ATCTGAGTCAATTAAATCCAAGGACATGTTAATAGTTTGGGAACAGGTCTTAATTCATTCTTTCTGATAAACAGTAAGCAATAAGATCAACTATATTCATCACAATATTATTCATCATAATAAAATATCACCAGCATATAGAAGATAATGGACCTTCTTATCTCTAAAGTATGTGTACAAATAACCCAAAAGTGGTTTCAAATTATTTAGATATAAGTAAAAAACTAGAAGTGCCACAATTAGGCTATTTTATGCTATTTGAAATACTTTCTGATCTGTCTGGCCAACAATTCAGTTAATCTGGACTTTCAAGGTCATGCAGTAGTCTTGATTTTTTAAGAACTGAGATTTTATATTTAACACATTCAATTTAACCTCAAACTAGTTTTTATTCAGAATCAAAACATGAAAAAATCAAAGTTGCACATATCCTTTTTAAAACAAAGCTTATGTTTGCTACTTTTAAAATAAGAAAAGTTTAGGGGCTGGGGAGGTGGCTCAAGCGGTAGCACRCTCGCCTGGCATGCGTGTGGCCTGGGTTCGATGTTGCGTCCACCGATAACTGAAAAATAAATATTAAAAAATTCTCTCCCTCTCTCTCTCTGTTTAAAAAAAATAAAAAAATAAAATAAGAAAAGTTTACATTATTATTTCCAACTATTTATTTTGAAAAATTTCAAACCAGTTGCTGTAGTTTGGATCTTGAATGTCCCCTGAAGGCCCATGTACTAAAGTTTTGGTCCCCAGGGTGGCACTTTTGGTAGATGTAGAACCCTTAGGAGGGGGGCTGAGTGGAAAGTCTTTAGGTCACTGAAAGCATGCCTTTGAAGGGCGTTGGGGAACCCTGATGCCTTCCTTGTTCTCTTTTTGCTTCCTGGTCACGAGGCAAGCTGTTTAGCTCCACCACACACTCCTGCCATATATACTACTGCCTCAGTCTAGGCCCCAAACAATAGCGCCAATTGATCATTGGTTGAAACTTCCAAAACTGTGAGCCAAAATAAATATTTTCTCTTTATAAGATGATAAGCTCAGATATTTTGTTATAGCAATGGAAGGCTGAGTAATAAAAAAAAACAGAACACAGTATGCAGAACAAGCCACTCAGTTACAAACACTGAGTCAACACATTTATGCAGAGCTTCTTAGCAAAGCAAAAAGGGAAGAACAGCCTGTTATATAATCCTATCGCTTATGAAGAGAAAGAACATCTATTACTCAAGAGTAGCCAAATATTTCATGACTTTTTACTCAGAAAAAATTCTTTTGCGTTCATAGAAGGACCACAGAGAAATATCATATACAACAACCCTACAGTAAATACATCAGTAAGTTCTGTGAGCTGTTTTCTAGAATCCCTCATGTAAGCAGAGGGTACATGGTCTGTAGGTAGCAGAATGGAGGTTAAGAGCATGGATTCTAGCATCTAACTATCTAGATCTGAATCTGGCTCCATCACTTATTAATTCTGCAGTGACTCTGAGTGACTATTTAGCCTTTCCTTTTTTTTTTTTTTTCTTTTTTTGGTCCTGGTGCTGGGGATCGAACCCAGGGCCTTAAACATGCCAGGCAAGTGCTCTCCCACTGAGCCACATCCTAAGCCCTTCATTTATAAAATACTGTGATAAACAGTAGGGTTGTTGTATATGCTATCACTCTGTGGTCTTTCWATGTGGTGCTTCTAAGGGCTGTTACAAAGTTTAAATGAGTGAATGCCCATAGCACATTTAAACTCAGGTAACAGAACAGGTACAGGAATTATGTACTTGGCACACAGCAAGCATCACTATTACTGAAGTAAATGCCACAGTGAAAATACATTATGCTCATAGTCAGAGGACAGGCACTTAAATCAACTAAGGATTCAAGGGAAGGCTTTCTGGAGAGAGGACACCTGTGCTAGGTCTAAATTTCAGCCTGCTACTTAATAGTTTTGACCTTGGCCAAATAACTTAAATTTTATTTTCCATTTGCTAATACTGAGCTATGTCAATGGCTGATATAATAAGCTAATGCTTGAGAAATTAAATGTGACAATATATAAAGATTAGATAAGCAAAGTACCAAAACATGGCATTTATAACCATGAATGTTTCCTCTTGGAGCTTATGAAAAAATAAAGTACTCTTGCATTCAACTCTCATTTGTGGCCATTTTCTCAATTAAAAAAATTTAAGTTTTAAAATTTTTTTTWAAAATTAAACATTTATTCAGATTACAACCAAACTACTTGGAAGGAATGTTAAGTGATATCACTGGCTTAGCACAGCTCTCCTGGCCTTTTTCATACTCATGCTTTCATATATTCTTGTCCATTTTTGAGGTGTCCTGTGTCTACCTGACAGTGTAGGAAATTCGTTCAATATTCCTGACTTCACTAGGCAGAACGGAATGGTCCCTTTCTGAATCACTTTATACAACCCTCATTTTGCCTCGTCCATATTCTATTAAAGCACCTGGTATACTGCATTATAGTTATATTTATACCTTGATTTTTAAAGAAAAATAACTATGGCAACTACTATACGTATGTGTTTTTTTTTTTTCCCAAAATGTGAGTTTCTATGACTGTGTGACAGTCATAGAATCTGGATAGAAGTTGGCATATCAATATATTGACTTACAAGGTTTTTGAAATGATYTGAATGGGATTTGTTGTGTGCTGTTATAAGCAAATGAATCTMATACAATTTTATATTTTCTCCCTGATTGATCTCATCAATGCCTATGGATTAACTGAACAATTATAAGTTCATGTTCTCCACATCTGGTTTACTTTAATCCAAGTTCTTTCCTAATTCATAGACCTGAAGAATTTGTTTATTGGACATTTCCCTCTAAAATGTGGAGGTTGCCTCCCTCAGGTCACATTCACACTATTATAGTTCATAGGGGGCCTAATAAATTGTACCCTTCTTTTCTAGATGAAACCAACTACCATCTTTATTATTGCTAGCTTCCCACTGTTGTAACACATGACTACAAACTTAGTGGCTTAAAACCATATAAATTTATTATCTTAAAGTTCTAGAGGTCAGAAGTCCTAAAATCAAAGTGTTGACAGGACTGTACTYCTTCTGGGAGCTCCAGGGAAACTACATTTCCTTGCCTTTTCAAGGATGTCTATATACCTTGGATATCCCTTCCCCCCCTGCACCTGAGAATCAAAACCAGGTCCTTGCGCTTGGGTGAGGCAAGCACTCTACCACTGAGCTACACTCCTAGCCCTCCTTGGATCTATCTTGGAGGTAGACAGTRAAGCATTTTCAAATCTGTTTCTCTGACCTTTGCTTCCTTCTCCTTTTCTGACATTTCTGCCTGTAGCCCAGCCATTCATTCAGTATAATCTCCCTGTATTTGAAGACTTTTCGCCACACCAGGTGACATATTCACAGGTTCTGGAGATTAAGATGCAGTCACCATTGTGGGCCCATTTTCCTGTATAACAGAATTGACAAAGCAGATATCTGATATCACCTGTGGACAGTTTCCTTATGTTATACTCTGGAAATAAACAGGCTTACTTGCTTTGTAGCTCTGGCCTAGAAAACTTTACCACTAGCCCTTGCCCCTGCAGAAGAGAGAAGAGAACACAGGACAGTTCCCTGAAGGCAACTCTTTTCTTTAATTTTGTTTTAGTATAGGTGGACACAATAACCTTTATTTATTTATTTATTTATTTATTTTTATGTGGTGCGGAGGGTGAACTCAGTGCCTCACATGTGCTAGGCCTGTGGTCTAGCTGAACCACAACCCCAGGCCAAGACAACTCTCTTTTGAGAGAACTGTTTCTCTTTTTAAGTTCATCAATCAGGAAATCACTTTTCCAGGGAGGAGTGAGTTGGGGATCCAGGCAGGGAGAAGCCAGAAGTATTATACTAATGGATGCTGTTCCCTATGGAAGGAGAGTGGAATAAGTGTTTCCAAAACAGATCTACATCTGAACTCATCATCCTATCTCACAGGTCATCGTCACTATGTAGTATATTAGACACTTTCTTCCCATCTTGCTAGTATCTACTCCAGCACCTAAACTAGAATTATCCGTTTATCCTCTACCCAGTGCTGACAATTGTACCAAGAACAGTGTTCCCTTCCTCTGCATTCCCACTGCCAATGCCTTAGTTAAGGTTCTCAACACTTCTTGTCTTAAGGACTGCAATGGCCTCAAACTGGGTATCCCTGGCCCAAGCCTTGGTTTTCCCGACTATTTTCACTTCCTACATTTACTCCTTTTCCTGGAATTAAGTCTTTCCTAATTAGTCTCCCCAGATCCCTGCCCCCACCTTGCCCTGAAGGAAGTAACTTCCAAGGGGAACTGATTCTCCAATATCAGCCAGGCTCACATCTAATTTGCTTGCAGATTTCAGTGAATGCAAGGTCCACACTCTCCACTTCTCTTGCGCTACAGTCTTCTCATGAGAAAGTAAAGTGAAGTGGGTTTCATCCTTTACATAGTGTCTCCGCATACACTATTCCGTTTTAGCCTCAAAACTTTCTAGTGTGGGCAGGACGGATATTATAATTCCCACTTACAGAACGAGGACTCTGAGGCATGGCAATTCAAGGCTCGGGCCATCACACCCTGCTGCTAAGTTAACGAATGTCACTCAGCCCCTTCGGGTCCCACTCTTGGAGAAYGTTCCAGCATCTGGAAGAACTTGCCGATCAGGTCCGCGCCGGTCCGGACGAGGCCACTGCTCCGTYCACAGGTGCCCTGGACCTTCCCCTCCGCAGTGACGCGCACCGGTGACGCTATACAGTGACGTGTGGTGACGTGACTTACCCGGAGCCAGGTGCCCGCAGGGTGGCCACACCCTGGGGGGCCCTGCTCAGCCGGGGCAGCGGGTCTGGGCGGTGGAGGAAAGCCGCAGAACCCGCCCGAGGCCCCTGGGGGCCTAAACCCCGGCGGTTAGCCCACCCGAGAACGGTCGGTTGCTAAGTGACGCCAGCGCGCAGAGGCGCGTGCGCGGCCACGGCGGTGTGCGTGAAATCGGACGCGCGCCGCGGCGGCGGCGGCGGCAGCGAGGACGGCACCGAGGACGGCAGCGACGGCAGCGACTTAGGGGGCGGTGGCTGCGAGGCGGGCGCGCAGCTAGCGGAAGAGGCGTCTGTGGGGGCGACTAGGTCGCAGAGGAACATCGTTGGGGTGAGTAGCCAGGGCTTCGAATGGGAGGTGGGGCCTGGCCGCACCTGCTGCGCGGGCCCGGGGCGCGGGAACGCGCGCCCCCACCGTACCCGCGCGCGCCGCTTCCCGCCCTCTGCCGCTTTTTTCCGGGGGCGGGGAAGGAGCGTGGACGGAGGCTGACGAGGGTCAGTTCCAGACCCCGGCTCCCGGGAAGCGGTAGTAGGAGGTCGGTGGAAACTCCTAGTCCTGTAAAGTGTAGTGGGGAGTAGGTGTCTGGGGTTTCAAGGTGGCTCGGTCTGGCTTCCAAACTGAGGAGTTCGAATTAGAAGCCCAGGTTCCCCAGCAGCCTCGCATCCTGCCTTAGGAGCACTGGCTCAAGACCCACGGGAGGCGACACCCGAGGCCCCCAGGGTTGGGGCTGGGAAAGTCTGGGACTGCTGGGGCCTGCATCTCCCCTGCCCTGTCGCATCTCCGAGTGGGAGCCGGTTGTTATGGAGAGAGTTGTGAATCAGTGCCTGCGTGAGCGTCAGACACACCCACGACCTGGGGAAGGCGACCTGTCAGTGTACATACCTAAGGCCAACCTGTTGCCTGCACTTTCCAACCTCACGTGTGTGTCCACGTGCTTCCCTGGCATTTTATCTYGGTGTTGTTACAGATTTTGAGGCCAAGGGGCTGAAACGCATCCTCAGTTGTTACTTCCTTTCCATGGAGTTAAATCTGCTGTTACTTTTCCCAGACCCATGTGTGCTTTTGTCATTATTAAGGCCAAGAAAGTATGGAAGCATTATTTTTGTTGTTATTTTTCCTCAAAGAAGTACAGGCTTGCTATTTACCAGGTGGAAAACAGAGATTCTGTTCAACGTGTGGGCTTGATTGGAGAAGCTGGAGTGTAGAGGTGCAGCGGATCATCAGCCCAGTGCTCTCTTCTCAGTGGGCCTGACTCCTTCGTAGGTAGTTGTGTGGTGGTTGTAATTGCCATCCTTAGGAAGAGGGGAGCATTGAAGATAGAAAAGAAGTCAGTTTTTTTCTGTAACTAAGGCATTGCCTATAATCTGTAAAAGATAGTCTACTGAAATTTAATCAATATTTGTGCAAGAAATTTGGGGAATATTAAGTTTTCACTAAAATTCTGCAATTAAGTTTCATAACACAGGATCTGTAAAGAGTTATGTTACCCGAGATTCTTATGTCTTGGAACCAGTAAACCTTGTTTGGTAATACTTAAAAGTACTCTGAATTAAAACTTTCCTCTCTGAACTCCAGTACCTTTTAGAACAGGAATTGCCTGTTTTCTTCTTTGCCATATCTCCAGCACATAGACAAGTACTTGCCACAGAGTAGGCACATATTTGTTATGTATCACACTCTGCCTAAGTGGTTTATCTATACAGAAAACATTTTGTGCAGTCCTTTGTGTACTTAATACATGTGCCCCATCTCTCCAGTGTTATGCTAGCTATGGGAGGAAGATTGTGGGGTTGCAAATGATATGAAGACCTGGCACTTTTCCTTCAAGAGCAAACAGTCCAGCTAGTAAAAGAAAGCAGGTATATAAAAAAGAATTATGAACCCAAACTGTGATGTGAGAACTATAAGTACAATGAAGATTTAGAAAAGATAAAACATGTGGTCTGATTTACAGAACTCTTTGGAAGAAGTAAGATTTGAGCTGGTCTTTGTTATTTACTTATTTATTTTTGCTACTGGGGATTGAACCCAGGGGTCTTAGCCACCAAGCCACATCCCCAGACCTTTACATTTTTAAATTTGAGACAGGGTCTCCCTACATTGCTTTGGGTATCACTAAGTTGTTGGGGCTGTTCTGGAACTTGCAATACTCCTGCCTCAGTCTTTCCAGTCACTGGGATTACAGGTGTGCACCACCATACCTGGCTTGAGTTGATCTTTGAAAGAAGTGTAAAAATTTGAATTAGAAAAGAGATCCAAAATCATATGCTGAGAAGTTGATGTGAATTTGGTTATTGGGAGAATATATTGAGGAGACTTATATGGCTAGAGCAGAAGTTCTCAGGGGACTAATATAGAGATAAGGTTCAACAGGGTGGGAAGGGAAAGTGTTAAAGATAAGGCAGTCTTATCAACATCCCATTGATTAACAAGATAGAGCCTGCATGCTAGATGGAGTGGGGGTTGTATTAGAGTAAAGTTAAGATAAAAATAAGTGTTATTCTTAAAGGATATTCTACTCAAAGTAGTATCAGGTTGTTATACATAGTTTAGATTTTGATTACTAATTGGAATAAAGGCTCACTAATGCGCATGTATTTTAGGTAGTCACCAGCACATGTCTCTGTTTCTGAAACCTACCTGATTGTACTTACGCTTCTATTGTAAATTTACTGAAATGATATACCCAAAGTAGTTATCCAGCCATACTTAGGGACACAGTTTCACTTGGGATTATATCTCATAGTGGCCTTCGAGGCTTGTAGTTACTGCTGATCCTACAAAAACAGACAACAACAACAACAACAACAACAATAAATATTATTGGGAAAGGAGTCAATCTGAAGGAGGATACTCAAAAATATTGATAGAAAGATTTGACAATAAAGATGCTGCTGCTGAATATTGAACCTTTAGTCTTTATTTATGCCATTTTTATTGAAAATTCTTTTGAGTGGTGTGTAAACTTGCAATTGAATTGCTAACCAAGATGTGTAAAGTTTCACAGCAATGTTGAATTATTTAATGACTCAGCAAATATTTATTGGGTGCTGGGTATGATTCGCCATGCTGTTGGGCATTGGGAAGATATAGATGAATAAGACACAGTATTCCCCCTGACGTGCAAGTGTTCATCAGAGATCAATCACTAGTCATCCATGTTGTGATTAGTTAAACAGTTTTGGAATGAATAAAGTGCTGGGGGAATAGAGAGATCATTTGGGGATAATAATTGATAGTCAGGGAAAGCTTTAAGAAAAGAGGATGAAGATTAAGTAGAATTTTGCCACATGTAAAGGGAAAGACAACATTCCAGGCAGAGGGGTCAGCACAGTGTTGCTGAAGATCAAAATAGAATGGTTTATTTTTTGAAATATCCTGAGTTGTTTCTTGTAGGCTTGATGTATGACAGTAGTGATACTACTATAAGTGATGAAAGAAAGTAAAGACATGTTTTTGCAGTCAAGTTATGGGGGGAATCTTCAACTCCATCCTGAAAGTCTAGGGATTGGCCCCTCTCTCCAATTGGCACAGAGAGCCATGGGAAAGAGTAATAGATCAGAAAGTTAATTGACACTTGGGAGAAGACTGCATTAGAGTTGGCAGGGAGGGCATTTACAGTGTAAGTGAGCTATATTGGTAGCCCGCAGAAGGAGAATGGGAATGGATAGAATGCAGAGATGTGTTGGATGTTAAATTTTTAAATTTTATGACATCTAGGGTGAGGCAGAGGGAGAAGTCAAAGATGACATGTCTACTTTGAACAATTGGGTGATTWTGGTGACATTACATTAAAAAAAATACAGGAGAAGAAATAGGTTTACATTGGAGTGAAGAAATGAAGTCATGTTAATTTAAAAGTGTCTGTGAGGAGTTTAGAGAGATCCACTAGGTAATTGAGGGTTCTAGGTAATTGGAGTTTACAAGATTACGAACAGTTGTAATGTAAATGACAACTGAGGCTGTGGGAATAGCAACCTTCTAGAATGCATATTGTGCAGTAGTTAACTTCATGGCTTTTGAAGTTAAGACCTCAGGTCAAATCTGTTAGATCATTCTTGTCTAGATCAGTTGTTAGTCTGTTTTGTATTTCGATAACAGAATACCAGAGACTAGATAATTTATAAAGAACAGACATTTATTTCTTCACATTTCTGGAGGCAGGGTTGGGGAGAGTTTACAATAAGATAGATGAAATGGGAAAAACCCAGTGGAAAGAAACGGGAAGAAGTGTAATTACAGAAATGTGGATGTAGAGGAATCCGAATTTAAGGATTATCTGCTTGAGTCTTCCCCATCACATATACTGAGGACTGCTGGCAAATATTAGCTCTATTCTCTAATAGAAAGTTGTAAGGGAATTTCACTATAGAAGGAAATCAAATAGTGGTTGTGCAAATTTACAAACACATTTGTAAAGAGATTTTAGGAGTTAAATTGAAGCTTCTTGACAAGCACCACCATGTTTCCTAGGTGCTTGTTCTTTCTCATTATTTTCTCAGCTAGTATTCATTAATTTACTATTTCCCTAGAAATTGTGTGAAATGCTGAGCACAGAGAAAGGATAATTGCTCTGGGCACCTGAGACTACCTTTAGTTAGGAGAAATGTGTGTTCCCATGTATATTTTGTCAGGAGAAGATGCCTCAYTTTATAAACTTAAGACTATAATGATATGAATAGATATTGAGGACACGAAGTCAAATTCATTCAGTGTTATGTGTTCAAGAGGCCATCTTCATGGTAATTATAGTGATATATAGATTTTTTWGCAATCAAATTTATAATTTCATAGAAGAGAAAACATTTGGAGTGCTACAAAGAATATGATAAGTCTATATAAGTGTTGACTAGGTACTTAATACTTGTGGAGTGGCTAGGTGTGTTGTTTTGATTTCAACTTGTAAGCTATTTGATGTTTTAGAAATTGTAACAAGTTATAATTCCATTTTAATCTCTTGGCTGCCTTTTGCATCTGAATATAAGAGGCAAAAATATTCTGATGGTATGTGTCCTTGTTTTCTTGATCTGGGAGGTATACTCACCATGCATTTTTTAAGCCAATGTTCTATTACTATAACAGATACCTGAGGTTAATCATCTTAAGAAAAAGTTTGTTTGGGCTAACAGTTTTAGAAGTTCCAAATTGGGTAGACCCATTACTTTTTTTCCAGTGGAGGGGGCAGCACATCATGGATAGACAGAGACTAGGGTCCCAAAGTCCCTTTTATAGTAGGCTCCCAGTGACATAAAGCTTCCCATGAGACTCCACCGCCTCCCAGGGGTACCACAGATGGGAAACCAAGCCTTTAACACATGGACCTTTGGGTA